TACAGCTCCTGAATCCAATTTTTATACCAGACCCCCTCCCATCCCCTGGCGAATCTAACATGGACTGCACCCGTGTCTCGGGTGTCTTACCACTAGGTAATTCCACCCACATCCCAGTTTCCTATATGTCCCTATTTCCACCACCCACGTCCCTATTTCCTGCTTTGACTGCATTGACCCTTGTCATGGGAACCTGAACTCTTCCAGACAAAGACCTCCATCTTGACTGTGCAACCCAGAGCACCCAGATGCTGTGGCCCAATTTAAGGGCACGTGAACTGATCCCAAGTCTCTCATAAATAACCTTGTGCTGCCAAAATAAAGCTGCGGTCCACCAAGCCAAACAGGGTGAGGGACAGGGGAACCTCTCCTCCCTAGAACACAATGGGTCTTCTGCTTTGGAAAATGCTCCTGTTGTCCAGCTTTTCCCCCTGGGGACGGTGGCTAGGATTTTCAAAGTTGCCTGAGAAATTCGGGCTCCCAGGTCTGTACTAAAATTAAAACCCTAGGTGATTGTTAAATGTGTGGGATCGAACCTGGCCACTTGTGACATCTCATCCACGCCTTCAGATGCTAAATGTTTAATCGCTTTCCATTACAGCCCATCTGGAAAATGGCTACACACTTTCCTATCTTAACATACAGTGCTTGATCATTTCCTCTTTCTGCATTCAAATCTCCACAGTAGTGTGAATACTTTAAAGAAAAGTGTGAGAGTGGGTGTGAAGAGGGAGTGGTGGGAATAAGTTTTCCTTCTGTCAAAGTAAAGACTTCGTCCTCTGCTTGTATGTGCATGTGTGTGCACACACTTTAAATAGAAAGCTTGAATTGGGTGACTTCCAGTTTTCGACACTTGGCAAGCCTTTTAAGTTGTAACAGATGATGTTCTGCTGTTCCATATGATGTGCTCTTCCCACATCTCTCTTGATGACTTCTTGAAGCTCCTTAAGGATTCAGCACAAAATTCACATCTGTTCCACAGATAGATGTCCAGAGCTAACGAAAGGCCCATCGGACTTGAAGAGTCGGTGATGCCAAAAGCCATATGGTGGTGTTTTTAGCTTTGTGATCAAAGTGCAGGGACGAGAGCACTCTGGGCCAAAGGAGGTGAGGTGTGAAGTGGTGTAAGCCACACTTTGGCAAATGCAAAAGTAATTTGCAGGTTGGAGTGGGATGATAAGCATAAAAGTAAGGAAGCCGGGGATAACCTAGTGAAAGCAACTCTCAGGAGCTGAGGAGCATGTAAGATATAGGTTAAAACTGGGAGGATTAGGGTTTTTACCAGTGACTGTGAATCGTGACATCTGCTGAGTCTCCTCAACATTGCATTATTGCCTACAAACCCTGAACTTGCTTACAGCACTTGGAAGACCCTAAGCAATAGTCTAGATCAGTGTTTTTTCAACCTTTTTTTTAATTTATGGACTCCTAAAAAATTTCAAGTGGAGGTGCTGACCTCTTTGGAAATTTTGAATGGAGGTGTGGGCCCCTTTGAATTGTAAGGGGCGAGTATGCACATACTTCTCATTGATCCTAGTCCTCTTTCATGGATCCCTCAGACATAGTCGTGAACCCTCAGACATCTGTGGACCACAGGTTGAAAACCACTGGTCTAGGTCATATAATACTCTTGTGTAGCCTTCAGAACCCATAAACCTTTGCCTGAACCACATAACTATCTTTATGTCCTGTGTTTAAATATTGCCCTGCAGTACAGGTTAATAATTGCATGGTGGCTATAATTGTTGAATGACTGTTGACACCCGTCCCTGCCCCCCATGAGTATATTAATCTCCTTTTCAACATCTTCACTGCCACCCTGGCAGCATTATTAATTGCCATCTGTTGACCACTATGAAATGCCAGGTTGCATTTGTAATACAAAGTGAGCTGTCTTGTGTCTGAAGGGATGCTCTCGTTATCTCTTGGCTTACCACAGATGTCTTTGACAAGAAGGACCTGTTGTAAGCCCAAACTCTCAAAGTTGTTTATGGCTTTAAGGGATTGCCATCCTCTGTGGATTGGGCACTAGGGGAATAACGCATCGACCAATGCATTACATGCATTGTGTTGTCTGAAGGAGATTTGCTAACTTGGAGGAAGACTTTAATTAAAGTTGCATGTTTCCTATGAGACTTCTGTTTTCTTTGCATGGGTTACTTAATGAGCTTTTGTAAAATTTGAGATTCCAACTCTGGTTGGAAAATGCCCCCCCCCCCCCCTTCCTCCTTTACAGTTTCTTTGGGCTAGCTCAGGGGTGTTCAACTACTAGTCCATGGCATCCTGCCCATGAGTCTACCCACAGGTCAGAAAATTTGGTGGTGGGGAAGTGGTGGCAGTTAATACAACCACCTTCCCCAGTTGCCAAATCCCCAGATGCCAGGTCCTGCCCAGCAAGTCAGAGCTGGGCCATGCCCCCTTCCCTCTGTATGGCAGGGTGGGTGCTGGGCTGCATCTCCTTACCCTGCTCGGGACTGTGTCAACCCCCCACCCCTACACATCGAGATCAAACCCCATTTTCCCTTGGGGCTGGGCCATGTCCCCTCTCCCTGTATGGCTGGATTGGAGCAAGGCCACATCCCTCCCCTCCACCTACCAGGTTGGGTTGGGGTAGCATCAAGCCCCCTCCACCGCAGTGAGGCTGGGTTAGGGCCAGGCTGCCCCAACACCCCACTGCACATCCAGGACCACGTGCCAAACCTAGTCTGCAGACAGACCAGGTATTGCCCATCCAGCTCACCGCTGGGTTTGCTGATGGGGATTTTTGTCGGGTTAGAAGGACAGAGTTGAGTGTGCTTGCAAAGTGACCTGAGTTATCTAGATGAGCGAGAGCACACCTCTCATGGGTGCTTGATTCTCCTCTGTTTCTGAAAAGTTATCAGGCATTAGTGCCAACTCCCATTGTATTTGTTTTCAGTAGCACCAAGGGACTTATCTGACCCTAGGCCACTGTTTTACATTGTACAAAGTCTGTTTGGCGGCAGGTGCAGCCCTGAAAACCTTATGTTCAAAGCATCTGGCAGAGGGTGGGTTGGAAACGAGGCAGAGAGGTAACGTGACTTGTCTTGGTTGCACCACAGATTGGTGACAGACCAGGGAATCGAACCCAGAATCCTGGGTTCCTTACCTTTTGGACCACGCAGGCACCTTGCATCCTCGGACTAACACCAGAAATACTTAAAGTACCACGATAGTAGGCACGCTATACTGCTCCTGGACTGCAGCTGCCCTGTGCTACGTATAAGTTCAGGGCACTAAGGATGGGACTTTTGAAAGTGCCTGAGTGACTTGTATCAAGTCAGCAAGCTACTTTCATTGGTTTTTGCTACTTATTACTGACTTTCCATGGGATTTGAGCTGCATAAGGCATATATGCATTTTGAGAATCCCATTCTAAAGGAAGAACGGTCTTTATATTTTGAAAGCAGAGTTTGTATCACAGTAGAGGGTAATTACAGAAATTGTAATTTGGCCAAAGATTTCTGGGTTAGCAATCTTCCCTTATGAAAAGCGCTGCATGATCTCTGACACCAGCACCTTGGTTTAATGTATCGTAGACCTGAAAGACATGCCCCTTCCAATAGCACGGCGCCTTTCAACATCGTGCTAGGGCATTTGTTCAGTACTGCCTAAGAAGGAAGACGCTGCTTATTAACCAATATTTTACAATGATGAATGACAGTAAGAGTAACATTAGCTGCACGGTGTGCTTGTAGGCATCCAGTTGCCTACATGTTGCCCTTTATTATTTGAAGGCAGAGGCAGGAATGCTTCTCTGTTTAACTTTGCACCTTTATGTTGCAGCAACACTTGGTTGACAGAAGTTGGCCAGTTTCCTTGTACTAACTGAAAAAGAAGAGCTTTGACAGCTTGCTTGCAAAAAAAAAAAAAAAATCTCTCTAAATTCAGTTGGGAAGAAAAAAATCACTGTATATATTTTAGTTACTTATGTTTGCTTAGGTGCATCTAATGTAGAACAAAATATTTAAAGAGTAGCTCAGATTAGTCATATACATAGCTGCTGACCCGAGAGAGCAGAAAATGAAGCGTTGTCTCTAATAAAGAAGGTAGGCTTTACGTTCTTGATGTGATTTCCCACCCACCTCTAAATTATCTGAGTGACTTTCGTGCCTGTGTAAGTGTGGGGCTGGCTGGCCCTTAGACTGAAGACCACAATGGTACAAACAGGGATTGGTCAGTCTTCCCCAAAGTTTTCTCAGGTCTCCTCAGTGCCAACCCCTTAACCCCTGTATTTGTAAGGTTTGTGGTTTCCAACCCTGCCCATCCTTTCAAACTGGGCACTGCCCTTTAATGCATGGGTAAACGGGCAATTGTAACCCCAGCTCCAAATTCGGTTCCATTCTCCCCATGCAAAAGGCCGGTGCAGACTTCCTCCCTACTGCAAAGTCAGGCCTGGCTCAGGCAGGTGGTTCTCCAACGCTGTCAGCTATTTGAATATTGAGGGAGACTGGTGTCCCGGGAGCTTCTCTTCCAGTTTCCAACCCTTGAGGCCATCACTTCTCTCCATTCACGACTGCCCCTTCTCCCATTTGCAATCTCAGGCCATCTGCGAGGCAACTGCAGGAACTGCGAGTGTGGAAATACAATAGTAGGAAAGGGATTAATTTGCATGTAGCTTGCTGTCTAATGCTAGTTAAGTGACAGGCATGAAAGAGGATACCCCTGTGTCTTGGTCCTCGTTCAGAACAGCACTTAAGCACATGCCTGAAATTAAGCGGACGATTAAATCTTATTGGGATCAATGCGACTCAAACTCATGATTAAGTCATCTTCCTGATGACAGCACGGTAAACTGCTAGCATCCCTCTGCTCAGGGTGTGAGAACCTCTCATCTGTAATTCCTTTTAATGCCAATTTTTATCTGATTCACCTGCAAGCTTGTCTTTGAGTTTTCCCTAATATCTCTTTTTTTTTCTTTTTCCTTTTTTTTAATACAATGAATTTTACATTTTTTTTCTTTTTCTTCCCATGCCAAACAGGGTGCCCACACTGTAAAAATTCCATCCCACATTTCACAACCGCTGCCGAGCTCTTTAAGGAAGATCGCAAGGTAACCCATTTTTAATAGTTTCTGCAATGTTTAAAACGCCTCTGCCACCATTTCATTTCACAGGTGGGATCCAGTTTGTCTAATGATAAGGCTATCATTGAAAAGCTGAATCGTGTTTTCACCCTAGAGATCATACTTTTTTTATTTTCTTGGCCAACTGGGTTAATGTTAACGCTCTTCTGCCTTTAGCTTTTCTTGTTGTTCCCCCTTCTCCCCCTTTTATTTCTTCTGGGGTGAGCTCTTCTCTTTAAAACGTTCTGTAACTTTTTGAATCTTTAGTTGAGAGAGATTATTTAAAACCCCTTCTCTTTTAAAGCATGGTTAATAATTAACGGGCTGTGTGTGGGGAGAAAGCCTGTATTTCATGCTCTGGGCAGAAACCTGGGGGAGGTTTTTGAAATACCCAGGATGATTTGTGAGCGAGTCCCGTTGGCTTTCCATGGGACTTGTGTTTTTAAATCGCACAGAAGCTTTTGAAAAGCCATAAACCGGGGAACTGCAATTTGTTTGTCTCTTCCAGCAAGCTTTCTTCACTTAAACCTTTGCTTACTCAAGTACAGTACCCTCTGACCCGTGTAAGGGATGGCTTGCCCTGTTGGGCTCTTGCATATCTCCTTTGCTAATTCATGTGGATGCCCGCCTGCCTGCCCTCCCTCTCTAAAATGTGTTTCAGGATACAGTGGGTATGAAAGATGCTATTAAAAAAAGCTAAAGCTATTTCTGCTCCCTGATTTCTTTCCAAGCTTTGCAGCTTGGCACCTTTCTCGGTAAAGGAAACAGTGACTTCAGTTAAGCAGTGTATTTAAGCAGGGCCAGATTAACCCATTGGTGGGCCCTAGGCAAACAAATTCGTGGGCTCGAGCCATCGAGACCCCTTTCCCCACCCTGGTGCTGCCGTCCACCCATGTGGAGCCAGTCACATTTCAAAGAGAGGGGGGTGGGGGGGGGAAGGGGATGGTGTGCAGGGCTCAAATAAAAGGGCTCAAGATATGGAGACAGTGGCATGTGCCTAGTTTGCCTATGTGTTAATCCAGCCTGGATTTAAATACATTCCTAACATGAAGCACTTGAGTGAATGGGATTAGTGCTGTTCTAAGCTAATGGCTGTAACAGTGGGGGCCACCCCGTGTGTCACAAATTACCCCCATACCTGCCCCAAATGCCCTTCCACTCCCCTTTGTCTGCCTGATCTGGTGCTGTGCATCCTGGTTATTATCCTGTGTGCCTTCCTGTTCCTCTGCTTTGTTTCCTGCCCTACCTGCTATTATGCTGCCTATCCTGTCCCTGAGCTGCCACGTGCCACACATGCATCACAGGTTGTTTGTGCCCTGTTGATACCTTTTAGTTTCTAAAAACATTTTAAAAAGTCACTTTTTTTCTCTCTCTTTGCCCTCTGCTAGCTCTGAGTTGGGCCTTTCTCAAGTTCCCCACAACTTCAGTCTGCGTAAGCAATATGAAGTTGGCTGTCCCAAACAATGTGAGACTTGCTTATCAGGACTTCGGGCCACGTTAGGAAACTTCTAAATCTGAACTCAGTTCAGCATCTGCCTTGGTTAAATAAGAGGCAGCTGTGGGAAGGTTTTGCTTCAAAGTACAGTCCAGTGAGTCCTCTGAATAGAAGGGCTCAAAATATGGAGATGGTGTTTGAGTGTAGGTCTTAAATTTGGTGGAGAGTATCTAAAGTTGAAGAAGTGCAGAGGTGTAAAGTGTAATAAGGTAGAACAGAAGGATCTAATTGAAAATATTGAGGCTGGCCTATTTTTCAAAAAGGGGATATACAGGCAAAACAGCTTTGTTCCCCCAGAGACTTAGTCAATCCCTAGGACTTTCCTATCTTGGGAGACCTCTTGACTCCTGCACAGCCCATAGCCTGGCAAGGCGTGCCTTAGGGACTGTTGGTGTCCTTGTGGAAAAGACACGGGCCTTCATCCAGCCAAGAACATGAACCTGTGTGTACCTTCAGGCACGAGGAGATATACTTATCACCCCACATATGTACCCCAGCATACCCCGCTGCCTTGCAGGGTACTACTTCAATGCCACATGTGTCCCCTCATTCCTTGTTGAACTACCCTATAAAATTGAAGAGGGTTTCACCAGTGGAAAGTTACTCCTAGGGTAAAGAGGAAACCCAGAATTTACTGGAAAATGGGTAACTTGCCTATGTATTTTTTTTTTTTAAACTCATTATCCCATGTGATTTCTGTAGCAGGAAGGTCTTCTTTATTCAGTGCTAAACACAGAGCCATTCAAATTATCATTATCTATTACATTATATTGGATTCTTTAATAAGGAAAGGCCCCTTGGCTTCTGTAGCATTTAAAAACTTTTAATTAAAAAAGAAAAATTCCAGGCCTTATGCTCACCAAAAAAAAAAAAATCTTTCAGCGAGAACTGAGGAGGCGTTCCTGAGTTTCGGAAGAAAGGGTTTGAAAATGGCCAGCTCATGAAATGGGGCATTGACTCTGAAGGCTTACAATAGCCAGCTGCAGGCCTTTTTTTTCCTTTTCCAGAGAGACGGCACTTGGTTTTACGTGCGGGTTTCCATCATGTACACCCATGCGGCAATAGTCTGAGCCTGCAAAATGGTGTGGCTGGGACTTCAAAATTTAGTATCAACTGTCATAAGTGGCAGGAGAAAATATTATTTGGAGGGCTGTGCAGTGCAGGGTGCACCGGCTTGACCCCCGCCCCTCTCATCCCGCAGGGCCATTGCAGGGGCCGGTGCGCACTGATGCTGTATGTATGGCGGTGTGGGACTGCACAGCAGGGGCACTGTTGCCGGCCGCCGCAAAATTAGTTTCGGGGGGAAAGCTAAGCCGCGTTAGCCACAGCCTTCCACCACCTATGCCAGCTGTCAGGTGGTTGTTAGTTGTCACTGCTGACGGCTTTAGCTGAAGTATCTCATGAATATGTTTTGTCCTGCAGCCTTGGCCCGCTGTCACAGTTGTGGAAGAGGCTGAGCAGGGCTCCGGCACAGGCTGAGGCTCCTGCGCTTCCAGCTGTTGCAGTGGAGGAGGCCTGGTAAGAGTGGGCCAGTGAGCAGGACAGAGGTGTAGAGGGGGTGAGCAGGCTCCTGAGCATCCCCTAGTCAGAGAAGCTCTTGGAAGGCTCATCCTCAAACCACTTCTGCAAGACTCCTCTCTCCGCTGGTGCAAGTCGTTTCTCATGTCTCAGTAGGAGGCAAAATATCTTATCCAGGTACTGAAGAGGATTAAGCACAGACCAGGAGCTTTCTTGTTCCCAGCTACCTGGGAAGCTGTGCTGTGGCCTTTACGTGGTGCTGCCAGAAGAATGCCCAGGGCCTTTCCACGCACCGACAACCCTGGCTGTAGACTCTTTAAGCGGCCTTCCAGCTTGCCAGCAGATGCTCAGGACGTGCAGGCCCACTAAGATACAGCGCAGCCCCCTTGGCACAATTTTAGATATTTGTACAAGCTTCGTTGGAGTTGCTTATACATGCGAACAGGATTTTCCTTTACTGTTGTGTATCAATACAAATCAGAAGACCTCCAGCAGCTAATAGTGGGTTTATACAGGACCTGTAGGAGCGATGCTGACAGCAAAGAGCCCTGTTCTTTTTCTGACGAGTCGGTGCCCTGGTAATTGTTTGCAAACTCTCCATTTGCTATTGAAACCAGTGAGGTCATATGAAACGCCCATAGTGGCATTGAGGCAGTTACTTTTATAGTAACCCAAACTGCATGGCCCCAGAGCACAATGATGCCATTGGGCCCTAAAATGCATTAAGGAAACGTGGAAGTTAACATGTGGAGATTGGTCATGTAATTGCTCTGCATTTAATTTAAAATGCACACCGTCACTTTAAAAAACAAAAAACAAAGCCATTTAGATTCCTTAAATGCGGTGGTGTTAGTGCTGTATGTCCCGGTAACTGATAGCTAATCTTCCCTTTCACGTTTAGAATAGCAGCTGAGTCATGGCTAACCCCAGTAGGCTGTACTGGAGTTCTTATATATAACAGGTAAGATAAATAAAAGCCTGTACAGTAATCATGGGGAAGGGTATGTGTGTCTAACTCGTGTGCTTTTAAGTCACTTTGGCAACAACAGACTATTTTTTTGAATAGTAAGAGATTTGTCATCTGCAGCTGACTACTCTCTAAAGCAGATGCTTAGTGCCATTCTTTTTTTATGCTGAAATTTTATCCCTGTTTTAATTTAAAAAAGGCTGCCCTATATCATTCCTTCCTTGAATCAATAGTCAGTTCGTTATTCACTTCCATTTTCATAACAAAAGTCAATATTAGCTCCTGTGGAGATTTATTTCTTTGAATCAATAAACCGGTGTGTGGCAGTACATATTTTAACAAGAGACCAACTAGTATTGCAGAAGATATTTTTTTACTACATTATCCTATGATTCTGGAAGGCAGACTGGTAAAATGAAAGGGGTTTAAGAGGAGAAAGCAGGAGCTCCTGCTACCTGAAAAGCAGGAAGATTTGAGCCCGTCACAAGCCCATTTATTTTAATTGCCACCTCCCCCTAGCACAGACGATTCTCTGTTGCAGTCCTGTTGGAAGCTGGTTCACCCCAGGAAACCAGTGATGCTACAGAGCAATGGCTGAAATGCCGAAAGTGTTTCTTTTCATCTTTGCATGCTGCACTCCCATGGGGAAGCCTGCTAACATGCCTGTTTTACAGCTGGGGACTGGAGGCAAGCAGACTAATGGTTAGATTTTTTAAAGAAAGTTCGGCTTCCAGTTAGGCATCTAAGTAAAAACCTTGGTTGCTTTTTTGGGGGGAGGCTTTTTGTTTTTTTAATCAGGCTTGGCACTTAGCAGTTCCCATTGAAAGCAAGCACTCTTGAAATTCAAGCCACTTAACGGAAGTGCTTAAATGAAAATCTGGTCCTTAGTGACTTGCCCAAAGTCATGTGACCGGTCTGAGGTTTGATCTTTCAAGGTCTGGTCCGGCATCTAACATGAAACTATCCTTTCCACTGATGCCTTAAAGATGCCCAGTTCTGGCACAGAAA